AGCAGAACAGAGACACCTGAGGAGAGGAAAGGCCAAGTAATCCCTGAGCCAGCACGTCCTTACAAAGTCTGAGTCTTTTGAGGGGTCTCTGCCATGCACTGAGCGGATTCAAAGGTTGGCTGGCTGTACTTTCAATGGACTTGACAAAACTATTCCAAAGAACCATCTAGAAAGGTACAGCATAAATTATGTAGTGTCTCTTCCTGAGAATATCGGTTCAAGGTTGAATTCTAATCAAAGCTTCAATCTGAGTCACTTAAAGAAAGTTGTATAGCTTTGACCCCTTAAAATATTTTTTAAAGATAGCTTAAAAACCTCTTTATTCTTGCCTAGAGAAAAAGGTGCACAATGTGAGTCTTCTAACACAAATCAGTTCATTAAGAGAGGCGTGAAAACCGGCACTACTCTGGGAGGGAATACATGTAACCAGCCTGTGATGAGCAGTCTGTTAGCAGTCAGTCTGTTGACTCCCCAGGGAGCGTCCCAGCCCTTGACCTCATACTGTGCATTCTGCTTGTTGGTAACTTGACTAGTGAGAATCCACTTCGTGGTATGCAGACACAAAACAAAGCCAAACAAAATGGACTGGTATCATTGTCAGAAGCCTCAGCCTCTCCAAGGAAGAAAAAGAATAAGAAATGAATAAAAACAAAACAAAACAAAACAAAAAGAATACACCTGCTATGTATGAGGTTGCCCATTTCTGTGGGGCGTGGTGACAGACTGGTATAGGAGGGTCTTCTTTCTATGTGTTGCTTTCATTGGTTGAATAAAGAAAACTGCCTTGGCCTTTTGATAGGGCAGCCCTTATATGGGCGTGGTAGACAGAACAGAATTCTGGGAGGAAGAAGGGCAGTGTGGCAGACGCCATGGTTCTCCTCTCCGAGACAGACGCTGGTTAGACTCACACTGGTAAGCCACAGTCAAGTGGCGATACACATTAACGGAGATGGGTTAAACTAATATGTGAGAGTTAGCCAATAAGGGGCTGGAGATAATGGGCCAGGCAGTGTTTAAATGAATACAGTTTTCATGTGGTTATTTCATGTATAAGCTAGCCGGGTGATGGGATGGAGCCTGCTACTCTTCCTTCTACTACACAGACCAGATGCAAAGCAGTTGTACAGCGCTAATGTGTTCTTGTCTCTGAGAATTTGAAACCAAGAGAACCATGGGTGCTGGGTGCTGAGTAACCCTGGGTGGTGAGTGATGAGTAACCCTGGGTGCTGTGTGTGGAGTAACCCTGGGTGCTTGGTGCTGAATAACCCTAGGTTCTGGGTGCTGAGTTACCCTGGGTGCTGGGTGCTGAGTAACCCTTGGTGCTGGGTGCTGAGTAACCTTGGGTACTGGGTGTTGAGTAACCCTGGGCGCTGTGTGACGAGTATGCCTTACTGTTGACTTGACAGGATTTACAATCACCTATGAGACTGGCAGGTCCTTTCCAGCAAACATTAAGGAGGTAGAGAGCCCCACCCTGAATGTAGATGGCACCACGTCATGGGCTGGGGATGAACAAAATAAAGTGGTGCCAAGCACAGAGCTCATGCCAATGTCCTCTGCTCTCTGGGTGCTCTGCCCTAAGCTCCTGCCACCATGCTGTCCTACCCAGGTGCAGGGCGAGCAACCGGTGGCTGTAGCCATGAGGACTGTAATTACCACAGGCTCTGATGCGAGGGGCCCATGCGTCATGCTACACAGAGCACCCATTTATGTGGAGGCTCTAGCTTGTTACGGCGGCGTAAATGAGGTAGAGCATGAGACTCTTAATCTCAGGGTCGTGGGTTCGAGCCCCACGTTGGGCGCCAAAATGTTATGGCGTAAATGAGGTAGAGCATGAGACTCTTAATCTCAGGGTCGTGGGTTCGAGCCCCACGTTGGGCGCCAAAATGTTACGGCGTCAATGAACGGCAGACAGAAATTATAATAAAATATTCAGCTTTAATAAGGAAAAGACTTACAGAACCGAGGTTCCCTTGGAGAACAGGAAATCAGAAGGGAAGGCTGGGAGCTCACCCTCAATATTTATTAGTAAAAAATAACCTTAGGGGACCCTGCCCTTCAAGCAAGGTGATTGCCTGGTCTCCCCCTACATTAGCTAGTTTACCATCCTAACTGAAAACCTCCACTCTTCAGATGTAAAATGTAAAAGTAAATGCTCTCCGGTATGTTTAGATGGAAATCTAAGGACTACCCGTATCCTTTTAGGTAGCAGTAGTCTTTCCTGTCTCTATAAAGTCCCTGTCAGAGCGGGATGGCTCACAAAAAGTAGGGGTTAAGAGAACGCATTGCTCCCTCTACCTTTACCCCCCCCCCACCCCCGCGAGGCTCCGCTGAGTCTCTAGCTGATGCCCGCCTCAGCATAAGCTCCGAAATGGGACAAGATTGGTTATTCTCACATTTGCTGACTATTGTCTTTCACGGTCACCAGTTAGCAATGGAAGCAATGGGCTCACATAACTGCTACGGGTAAGGGCTCTTGGAAGTCCCACGATCGCATTGAAGCCACAGCAGCAGGGTAAATAAGCACCAGACCACACAGGGGCTTCTGCCTGGCATGAGTGGGGCCGGTTGTCTGTGCCGCTGCGACGCTGTGCCTCTGGTGACCCCATAAACTGCAGCAGGGGCTCACTAGGAGATGTCAGCGCCCCCCTCAAAGTTGGTTATCTTCCTCCCTCTTCCTACAGAATAATAAAGGGGGAAAAAAAAACCAGAACTTTTTAGATGAGTAGAAAAGGCAGGGCAAGTGAAATTGTAATTAAATCATGACAAACTTGAAGTCGAATTACATTGTTAGAAGTCAAATCATAGTTATTACTCAAACTGAAATAATTGCCATTCATAGGATAACAAAGACACTTTGAGAACAAGAATATTTGACTTTAGAAATCCCTGGAGCTATTTTTAAGTGTGTATTATAAGGCAGAGTAGAGTTAACATTCTGTAGCTTGTCATGGGGCTCTGTGCTTATAATCCCCTAGTTGTGTCATGGTCTTGTTCCAGGCAGAATTATCTGGTGAGCTTTTAGCTGTGTTTTATTGTCTTCATTTATCAATAACTTGGAAATATTTCATTTTTATTTATTCTGTATCCTCGGGTAGTTTACTCTTCAACCAGTAATAAATGGCTGTCATTTCTATTGTTCATACGCAGAACCTCTAGTCTTTGTCTTTTCTTAAGGGTTTTTTGAAAATTTATTTTTGTTTTATACGTATAAGTGTTTTACATGCATATATGTACCCACAGAGCCCAGAAAAGAACATCATAGCCACTAAATCTTGAGTTGCAAATGGTTATGAGCCCTTATGTGGATGTTTGGAACCAAACCCAGGTCCTTTGCCAGAGCAGCGACTGCTCTTAACCACCTCTTCAGACATTCTCCCTAAGATTTTTCACAGTGATAAATATATTTTAAGTGTTTTTCAAAAGTAGAATGTCATTTTTATGCTCATGGCTAAGGGACCTTAGATGAAGATAGGCAATTTACTACTTGGTTCTCGTGTTGATGGTAAGACCTTTGTGCTCCTGCACCCCATGAAGTGCTGGCTTCTGCGGCTTTGTGTCATGGGATCCACCGATGACAGGGTTTAAAATCCAGGGGCTGGACCCAGCTATGATTGGGCTCTTCTCCAGCCTCTTAGTTGTGAGAACTCAGCTAGAGTGTAGGAAAAGACCTGATTTGTCAAGATAAATGGGGATGGCACCGTTATATCGGAGTAAAGTCTATGAAGGGCATCCATACGGTGGGGCGGTGTTGTTCGTGCTCGGAAGCTTGGACTTTACTGTGCTCGGGCTTCCTTTCAACATGGAGCCTTTAAGAAGTGAGCCTGGTGGCAAACTCTTAGGTCCACTGGAGGCGGCCCTCTGAAGGGATTGTGGGATCCCGGTCTCTCAGCCTCCCTGTGTCCCACTCTGACCCCCCAAACCTTCTGCCACTGTGTTTTTAGCTGACACCATCCACCATCAGGGGCCAAGCAAGCAGGGCTGCGTGATCTTGAGTACACATTAGCAAGTCTCTATTGTCTTTATAAGCAGCCTGCCTCTGGTATGTCTTTCAAATTACAGAAAATGGACGGATACAGGCAGGTTTCCAAAGTCTTAGGACACTTTCTTTTATATCAAAATAATATTACTCACTGTAACGAAACAGTGCCGTCCGTCATTCATTCAGTAAGCCACACGGGCATAAGCTCCAGGTAAGTGTTGACCATGCCGTCCCCTCTCAGAGTCCAGCCTGATGGCAGGCCTATGCCGAGCCTGTCTGTTGTACCCATGGTTGGGACGCTGCATGCCAGGCAGGCTAGCCTGGAACCGCTTGAGCCCATCTTGGCGGCACTAGGGATCCGTTTAGCTAGTGTCCGTGACAAAAACAAGAAACAAGCCTCTCTCTATGGCCGTGTTACCTAACATGCTGCCTGTAACTTCGGTGTGGAATTGACTATGGGAAAAATGCCTATGGGCACTGACGTGGGAATGAAGCCCTGATCAACCTTGTTGTTTTTCCACTGGTATCAAAAGGTGTTTTCATTAAAAATGGGATAGGAAAACCTAATGTGACTATTAAAGCCTCCAGGCATAAGACGTCCAAATGAAATTCAAAATATATTATAGGATTTTAATCTTGAAGTCATGATGGTTCTAGCCCAAAATAACAGTCCTTTGGTTAATTGGGAAGAAAAAAAAATACCTTCTTGTGTCTTTAAAAGAGTAGGGAAAACTTGCAATGAAATTTGGGGAATTATTTTTCTTCATCGAATATTCCAGTAGAGTATTATTCAAATAGATTGTGGGTTTTCTCTTTTACCTTCTAGCTCTGTGAGAGGCTAGCCAGTGCAAAACAGCACTTAACAAAAGCCAAACAAAATATTCCCAAGATAAAATAGCTCCAGTCTTGTGACTGGTGCCCGCGTGACCATCGCCCACGTTTTAAGGACACCCCCCCTCCCATTAAGATCCCTCCGGTTCACTTCGTCCTTCTTAGTGTCGCTTCCTCTTTCTTCCAGAGCTTCTTTGAAGGACAGTCGGCACCCTGGGACTCCGCTAAGAAGGACGAGAACAGAATGAAGAACAGATACGGGAACATCATTGCATGTAAGCTACAATGGCCGTGCGCGCCTGGCAGGGCTGGCCACCAGGCTCACGCAGTGAGGATTTACTGTGCAATTACTGCCTCCATCTCTGCTGCAAGAGCTAGTGTTAAGGCTTGTGCTAAGCGAAGGAAAAATCGTCTGTGACCCCAGCGACATCGGTGCACCCTCCCTGGGGACCTGGTTTTACTTTTAGATTTCAGGTGTAGCTAATGCAGGTCATGTTACAACGCTGAGGAAGAAAATGCATTTGGAAGGAGTAAACATCCCAGGCCTCATGTTTCCCAACTGCTACATGAGGATGAATAGAGGGATTGGCTTCCAGCAGGCTCCATGCACAGAGCCGTGCACGCGCTGGCGCATTAATCCTCCGGACACTGGGTTCGGTAGGTCAGTAATAGCCCCATTTTAAGGGCAGGAAAGCAAAACTCGGAAGTTAAATGATAGTCTCCGTATCACAATACTCATTAGCAAAAGGGCTAGGATTATATCTCAGAAATTCCCAGCGCCTGCGAAAACCGAGCACTGCCATCCATAATGCCTGAGACAGCTTTTAAATCGAGCCCAACCTCATTAATGTTCCGTAACCATGCCGAGACGCATAGCAGATTGATGAGCCTCCTTCTCCCAGGGCTCAGACCATCCATCCTCTGCATTCAACTGCTCCAAGTCATGGAGGATGGCATCAAGGTGCTGATGGGCCCACTGTGGCCACCTAGCAGAATCCAGGCTGTTTATGAAGGAGCATGAGCCTGGGCCTGGCTGCGAGTGTCTGGCTCACCATGCCATGTTTCTTAGGAAAGAACTAACTTGGAGGGAACAGGAATTTCAAGGGAGCCGTGTATTTGTTTTATTGATCGTGAAAGCACAGCTAAATCCTGCTGCCTGCCTGAACGTTCCTTGGCTTGATGGTACGTTTCTATGGTAGTGATGCCCCAGACACTTCTGGTGCTTTTGCAGACCTGCTCATCCATTCGAGTCACAGGTTACTGAGTGCTTGGAATGCGGCTGTTAGGACTGAGAAACTGAATTCTTTAACTTTTGTTTCATTTTCATCCTTTTGGATTTAAATAGAGCACGACACTGGCGGCTATCATATTGAACAGTTACCTGGTCACTTCTCAATTTCCTTGACAAAACACCATAACCAAGGCAGCTTATAAAAGGAAGCATTTAATTGGGGGCTCACAATTCAAGAGGGTTAGATTCCGTGACCAGCATGGCAGGGAGCATGGCTCTGGAGCAGTTGCTGAGAGCTTATATCCTTATCAACAAGGGGAGAGAGAGAGAGAGAGAGAGAGAGAGAGAGAGAGAGAGAGAGAGAGAGAGAGAGACAGAACACAGAAGGTTCCAGNGGACAGAACACAGAAGGTTCCAGCCAAGGCTTGCCTTCCCTTTGGAGACAAAGGCCAACTACTGCCTTTTCAGGGATATAAATGTCGCATTGGCATGCTTCACTGGCTGGCCTTTGAAACACACCATGGTAGCTTAGGGGTCCGGGGCTGTATCATTGTCATTAAGGGCAGGAAATGTGCCCTGAGGTTGAGAGTTGGACTTCCCCTTGGTGAAGTGAGTTGGCATTCTAGGACACTTGATCAGTATTGGACACTGACAGTGCAGAGATCATAGCATCAGCTGTTGATCCGGCCCTGGGACAGAGCCAGCAGGCCGACTGATGACTGCGTGGCTGTCTTTAACTCACCATAGAGAATTAACAGAAGGAAAACAGGGCTTCTTGGCCTACATGGCCTTCCCAGTTATGGTCTCTGAGATTCACTGCAGCCTTGCTTTGTGGATGCATCCATATTTCTCTCATGGCTTGCAAGACCCTGACCAAGAATCTCTTCTGCTTCATGTTAAAGTCCAAGCAAGGTGTGT